TGTGGATCCATTGCTTATTCCTATTAAAATTTGGCAACTTACTCAGCAATTTCTGTTGCCCTGAGGTTAAGTATATTTACCATGATGATCCTTTGTGAATATGCTTCAATCATTAGTAAAAAGAGACAAAATATGTTTGTTTATTTGTTTTATTAGCATCTGATGCTGAGAGTACTTAGAATTATTTTTATTTGCAGAAGTGTCTTTATATTTTAAAATTTCCTATGTGAGTTTAAGATTCATTATTAATCTAAGATTTAAATTATACCTTTGTTAATTTAGTATAGGTATTAGTATTTTCATCTGATAAAACTATTCTTTCTTAAGATCAAAATAATTATGAACAGAATTATGTTCCTCACTATCAAATTTTTTAAACAAAGTAAAAATCTAAACCATGAAAGCTCTGGAGAAGGTTGGGGGAGGCTTATAAAAGGTTATTTACTTAGTATAATTAATTTTATTATCTTACAGTCTTGATCTCTTTAAAACACAGGCAATAATAAACACCGAAAAATAAGTACATCATTAAGTATCCCTAGATTTAGTTTTTATCCAACTTTATTGTTTGGATTATGGTCAAAGAAATGTGATAGTTCTAATGTATTTGCATACTATGAATATGATTTTTTTATAACATGTTGTAACTTGAGCTATAGAGTAAACCACAATTGCTTTACTGGTATAGTAACCCATGCCCAGTATAACTCATGGGTATACTGGTATAGTAACCCATGCCCAGTATAACTCATGTCGTATATTTCTTTAACTTTTTGGTACTTTGTGAGGTTGTAGTCCCAGGTCTCATATATATGAGTCATAATCAAATGGAAGCTCTTCCCTTCGTATTATGTTTGCTCTCTTAATGTATATTGAGTAATGCCAGAAATATTGGAGGCATTGCAGAAATGCTTTGTATCAATTGGTTTACTTGTTTAAAGTTTTTGAATAATTACAGATGATTAGTTAATAATTACGTTGTATTTTCTTGGTAAAATCTTCCCTGGAAATATACTTTGTATCAGTACAAACTGTTGCTTTTATTACTGAAGTAGTAAGATCCAAGAAAGTAAAGAAGCTCTCAAAGTTTGAGATATTTTAATTATTACTTGGTTACTCTAAATAGGTATTTCAACTATTTTTATTAGAAAATGGAGGAAGTTCCTTATAGCAGTAGTTGTATTTTTATCTATTCACAATGCCCATAGTTTTGACTATGAGCTTTGATTTGGAAAGGATCGTTAAATTATTTAAAATCCACTTAATGGATTTGATATATCCTAATAAAAAGAGGTTACCATTCTGTGAAAGCAAGCAGGAAACATTTAATGAAACCAAACAAGGAACAGTCAAAACAAAACCTCTGAGGTTTTTTGTGAAATTAAAATTGGAGTACAAAGTTAGCCAACTGGACAATCTGATTTGCCTTTTTTATTTGCAACAGCATTTGACATCATTTGAATTTAAATATTAATTAGGAATTATACTGCAATAGAAAGTTTTAAGAGCCTTTTATGCAACTTAATACAATGCTATTTGAGACTGCCAGCAAACTCTTAAAACTCCTGGACACTGGCTCTCTTCTCTTCTGGCTTTCCTCCTAGTCATGTCTTGGCTACTCTCCAGAGCTGATGACAACTTTCACCCTGGAGTGAAGGGAGATTTGTGTAGTATAAGAAGGATTTTTGAGCCATCTTAGATTTTTATATCCAGATGGGCAAGGAGCAGGGGTGGTAGTATCATTGTATATTCTTGGGTTATGTCATCATGCCATGCATACACTGTAACCATTAATTTACTCATACTGGTGAATCCCAAATATCTTCACTCAAATGGTTCTTATTGGAAACTATAATGTAACTTCAAACACAAAACTTACTTAAAATTTATGTTCTGTAATTGATGGACAACTAACTTTACCTCTCCATTTACAACTGCATGTATACTATAAAGCAAAGAGATTCTACACCTTGGCTATTAAAATAAAAACACTTAGAGTCTATTAAAAATAGATTGTAGAACTTCCAGTCTCAGTGCTTCTGCTCAGATTATTTTACAGAAGCTATCTGAAGCAATATTGCATTCCTCCTAAAGAAAATCGTGATGATATGCTAATAGGATTTTTAAAAAGCTGTTCGTTTTAGAACCTTATACTTAAATTCACCTAACTTTGTCTAGAAGGCTATTTAGTGTTAATATTATGGTCTGAAATACTGTTTGACTACAGAGGTTTTAAGTTATGATTACATCAATAGACTACTTTTGGAGATAGAAAAGTATATATACTACTACTTTAACTTAAAAAAGTATATTTGTACACTTACTGCCCAGATTATCTGTTATGCCCCTACAATTAACTAAAAAAATTAAAAGGAAGATCTTCACTGAACTGAAGTGTTATTCATATACAGAAGTGTGTGCATGTGTAATTTCTAGTGTTTTTTATTCTGTAGGCATTTTTCAGATACCTGTACAGCTTTCACAGTCTGGCTTGCCACATTACATAAACTATTTACAAAAACTACTGTGCAGAAAGTAGTAAGGTCACTGCTAAGTATAATTTATTTCATAATAAACAGTTTATTCTTTTCTCATCCTCATGAAGATTTTAAAAATAGAATGTAGGTTATAAGGTAAGTGATGTAAAGCCATAGAACTTAGAAACACTAAATGAAATGCACGAAGGAGTTGCAAGATTCTGAAATCTAGGCTATGCACATTTCTTATATTTGGAATTTATTAGTTTTCCTCTGCAAAGAAAATAATTTTTTAAATCTCTCACAAATTGCCATTAAAGGGTCTATAATATTTACAAAGACTTGTAAATTTTAAGGAAAGAAACACTCCTTGAAACAAAGAAAGGTCAGATTGGTTATTCAAACAAACAGGTCCTTGCTTACATACTAATAGAATATAGGGTTAATCTCATCCTTAAGACTTACAATGTCTGATACACATATAATTGAGAAAGCCTTGGCTTATTCATTGAAATCCTGAATAATTGCATTCTAACAAAAGTTGGCTTTTATCATTTTAGATTCAGATACTTAGATACATAGACTTAGTCTACTTATAGATAAAAGGAAATCTGACCTTTTTGATTAAGAAATATTGTCAGTAGTCTTTATAAATGCTTGTTCATCTGAGGGTCCACAACAGGAGTACTCTTCCCAGTTGAGTTTATCCTAAAAATGAAATGATAGGAGCCTGCTGGTTGTTATCTAAGATTCTTCTTAATGGCAGAACCACATGGTTATTCCTCATCTCCCACTTGTTCTCACCCTCTATAACGCAAACCAGCCACACCCCACCCCCACCCTAACATTGTTCAGTACTCAGCACAATGAATCATTTTCAAGTTGACTCATTGTGAACTGTCTCCCAGCTGTTGGAATGTCTGGCAGACATTTTTGTTTGGGTGAAGAATAACTGGCTGAAACCCAACCTGGATGAGTTTGATATAATGGTCTTTGGCTAAAGAAATATTGGGAGGAACGTGTTTAGGGCCTCTGAAACCCCTGTTTTTCATGGAGTAGGACCATCCCCTGTGGCATAGAACTGAAAATAAGGAATCAATCTGGATTATTTTCTCACCATTGAATGAAAAATTACCTTAGGGGGAAAAAAACAGGCATTTCCAAATTGTTTGTTCTTCTATACTTGGTGTTCACATGATTGAAAGTATTAAAGACAATTAAATATAATTATTTTTACTAGTTCCTTTAAAGAATATTGATTCAGTGACTGAAGCATTCTTTATGCAACACTCATATCTCCTTAGGGAGATGTTTCAAATACTCCCCTTAGTGTGTCTTAACCAGGCACTGCAGCATAATGTTTAGTGTCAGAGGCTAACTATGTATTTCATACTGAGGCAGGTAATACTGATCAGCCTTCTTTTATTTCTCATTCTTACCCAATTTTTATAAAAAGATTTAAGAAATTGTAATTCCAGCAGTCTCAGTAGTCAATCACATTTTCAGAAAGGGAACATCTTTGATTATATATGGACTTTTCTATAACAGGGAATATAGCATCAAGCTGATAAATTTTCTTAATTGTCTTACATTTCCCATCCCTTTTTAAAATTATTTATAAATTAGTAGACATTACCAGTGTATAAAATGAGTTTCAATATTATAAAATTTTATAATTTTTCAACTTATCTAGATCTTTATTGTAAAAAATTTGTAAGATGTTCTCATATATAAACATTTTTCTCACCCACTCCTATCAAGGACTAAAAAAAATTACAGAATTTTCATTAAATAAGGCAAATCTACAGGGTATTTAATGATTATAATTTTGATGATTTTATTTATATAGCCTTGAAATTATGGGTATCTTAGAACTTTGCTACTTGAAATGTTGTTTTTTACAATTCATTATTTAGCAATATTATTGGTTATGTTGGAAGAGAAAAATGGCTATCCATATACTGCTACTCACTTCAGTCATTTATTTATATTTATTGTAGCAGTATTTGAAAAGAAAGAATAGAAGACTCTAGAGCCAGCCATGATACCTTTTAGCTAGACCCTTTGTGTTTCTAATATGATACAGAAGACCTCAGCTATCATAAGATTGAGACCTTGCTCCAGTCGACAAATGACAATGGAACCTTTTCTTACACATTATGATGTACTAGGTACCTGATGTCTATCAGGTTTTCCAATGAGTAATGGATAAAGTAACTGGAAAAAATAATAGAAGGTAGGAATAAAGGTTGTCTTATCTCTTGAGGCAAAGGACTTGAGACAAAAGAAATAACATCATTTCCTACCAAACCTAAAGTATAACTCCTCGGTTCTTCAAATTAGAATAATTTGCCTGTATGTGCTAGAATTTTCATTTAAGCATCTATTGTCATCTAATTTTTAACCTGTGGCAGTTTTAATTTTTAAGTTATTTCTTTATGTTAGTATATTGTCTGCTCTATAATTTGTTCATGAGATGATTTTATAGTTTTAAATACAACATTTCATTTCCTTGTCTTACAGAATAAAGCAATTATTGCCCGTGTCACAAATTTGTCAGATACAGTAGTTGGTCTGGAATCATTTGTTGGTTCTGACAGAGAAACCAACCCATTATATAAGGACTATCATGGTAAGCTTCTTTTTTATAAGAGAGGAGTATGTCCTGGTTGTTCCTCAGATATCTGGAAGCATCTTGTCCTTTCATATCTATTTTCACGTAGCATAAATTTTATCTTATAATAAATCTACTTATCTATTTTTTATTTCAGGACAGTTTTCCATGACAACTTGTCACCAAACTACATTATGACTATAATGTTTACATTATGACTATAATGTTTTCAGTCTGTTTAAAAGGTGTTAAACTTAAATATTAAGGCATGGCTCTGTCTGATTTATAATTTGTTGTACTAGTGGCTTAAAGCTGCCGTGAGATCAGTCATACTTGTTAGCCATGTTTGAAGTAAATATCACCTTAATTCTAATAACAATAGCTTTGTGTGACTATTTATAAAAGTTAGATACATAAAATATAAAATTCATACTCTGTTGTATTTACAAATTCTTAGTTAATGTCTTTTATTGTATTGATCTTTTCTCTATTAACTGATTTTGTTGTTATTTGAGTTCTGAGCAAATTTTAAAATGTTGCTGGCCTACTTTAAATACAGATCAATTCATAGATCTTTTCCTTTAATTTTTTTATACTTTTAATAATATTTTAGTCAATTAATATTTGATAATTGGAAGATTTAGTAAAATTGTTTTTGAGGTACCATTGGTTTACAATAGTGTATGATTCAGAAGTATAAGATCATACAGCTTTAGATGTAATTTACCACATCACATCTATATCAATGAGGCATCCATACTAATCTCCTGCATTAGTCCATTGCACTTTCACCTAATTGAGAGATTTTTTTTTTAAGATTCTTGCATACAACTATTGGAAGATAAAGGTGTAGTAGTTATGCATAACTTAGACCTAAGCTGAAAGTAGAGTATGGTAAATAATAGATTTTTATCCTATTTACTTTTTATGATTAATTATTGTTATATTATTATGGAACTACTATTCTTCTTTGGACACCTTTATTATAAAGACCAAATAATTTAAAACCTGCTACTAGACTGTGTAGATTGTGATTGTAAAGCTATGATAATTGCTAGAGTCTCCAAAGTGTTTATAAGATATTTTACATAATAATCACAAGTACTTTAAAGAGTAAGTATAAAGCCTTTAAAAAGTAGCAAAACAATGTCATCTACCAATCAAGTATTTTTTTTAAAGGTGAACTGTGAACAAAAGCTACTGTACAACGAGTCCCTCACGATCATTTACTTGCATAAGTGTGCACATGGCAAATGCCCAGATTAACCATATGTGTAATTCATTTCATTCCTTATTGTCACTGTCATAGGAAAAGAGCTATTAAGATTAAACAATATTTTTATTTTTATTGAGCTAAAACTGATATGTTACATAGTATTAATTATAAGTGAACATACAACATGATTTGATGTAGGTATATATTGAGAAATGATTAGCACAGTAAGTTTTGTTATCATCACTAAACATATAATAATTAATTTTTTTTGTGATGAGAAGTTTCATTGTCTATTCTGTCAACAACTTTCAAATATACTATACAGTGTTGTTAATCATAGTCACCATGTTAATCATAGTCCCCAAGACATTTTTGCATCTTACAACTAAACTATTTATTTGCTTTATTACTATTTCTACTTTCTCTTAAAGAAATTTGAGTTAAGTGCTAACTTTATAATCATATCCAAATGTCATTTGTAGATATTATGAGCTTATAAATTAATAAATTATTTTATAGTCTAAAAATATTTTGATTAAAACATTTCAAGGGCTGATGACCTTTTAATGGTAAATTCTCTGAATTGAAAAGTTATTCTTCGATTAATGACAAGTAAAACTACTCTTAATAAGAAGAACCTGAAGAATCATTCATTCATTCTGTAAAGTCTCCTAATTTAATTGTTAGCAAAATAAGCACATTTAAAATGAGAAATGTGTAAATAATACTATAGTGTAAAATACATTTTTCTAAATGAGGTTTTTAATTTGTATCTAAAAACTTTCTTAACACTTCTTGTCACTTTTTATGTTTAAAAATGTTTTGTGAATTATTTTTGAAGATGCAATTTCTAAAGTTAAGGACATGGAGTTTTGCCCCTTTAAGGTAAAACAACCATTACTAAACATTCAAAACACCCATTACTAAACATTCAAAACACAGACACAAAACTGTATACTAGTGAAGTAATTCTGTAAATAAGATTTATTTGATTTGTTCTTGTCTACATTCGCCTTCTCCCCCATGTTTAGAGATCATGTTTTTGAGATAATGATTTTTAAGTATGGGCTGAGTTAGGCAGAGACGTACTAAAGAATCTTCTATGTCGTCCTCTGTGACAAATGGCCCAGAGTTTAGTCAGAATCTGTATTAAGCTATACAAAGCTATCTAGTGCTGTTGTCAGAAAAAATTAGCAAGTGCTTTTCCTGACAAGAGGCCAAAGCTCACGATTTACCTAGCAGTTACAGAGCTTAGAACAGCTACATAAAGGTTTAACATGCCACAGAAATGAGTGTCTTGGGATGGCATAGGGTTAATATTTGATCCTATATTATGCTCTGAGATGTAGTTTTCTTCAATAGTTTGTTCAAGTCATTAATAAGGTACAAAATGAAATACTTTTCATTAGTGCTTCACTGGTTATCAGTAACCCATAAGCTTTGTTTTGCTGGCTGCTTACTGGTGCATTTAATAAAATAAAGATCACTCAGTGGTGCCGTGGGCAGCATGCAAGGTGATAGCCATATTTGCTTACTGTAAATACAAGAGAAAATCACACACAAACCGGCTGTAGTTTTGACAAGTATTAAGATCCCTCTTTACATCTGTATTTCTGTACCAAAGTGCAATTAGTTTTCCTCGCACAGGATTTCTGTTTATCTTATTCTGCTTGATTACTTGAGTATAATCACACCATTTGCTTCATTGCTCCTGGTCGTAAGCTCCAGTTTTAAAAGGGGAGGATGCTTGTGTGAAAATTTACAGGATTCTACTGTAATTTATGCATCCATTGACAGTGTTTAAAATATTTTTTCTCCTAATTTTTGTTTCACTAGGTCTGATTCATATACGGCAGATTCCACGCCTTAATAACTTGATTTGTGATCTATCAGATGTCAGAGACTTAGCTTTTAAATTAAAAAGGAAGATATTCGCCATTGAGGTAAGAAAGAATTTTTATATTTTAGTTCACAGTTCTGAGGTAAATTTTATCTCATTTGTATTTTTGAGGTTGTGTGTATTTTAGTTTCACTTCTTTAATGGAATTCTTAGAACATGTTTCATGCTAAATATTCTTGTGTTCTTTTGGTATAACAATTTTTTAGACTATCATTTTAGTGGTATGTCAGGAGAGTATAGCAAAAAATGGTGTTGTTTTCGATGTCTAGATATATATGACATGCATATTTCCAAGATTCTTGAAGCACATTTAATTAAATGTTAATGAGCTGTACTTGTGTGTGGAATGTGAACACTATCCGCAACAGTGTATAGTTAAAAAGAGGAGGATCCTCATCTGTATTTTAAGAGATTTTTTCTATACCACTATTGAAATCACATTTCCCCCTTTCCATGCCAAATAACACAAAGCATAATTTATACTACTGTCTGTGGGTATTTTTTCTATAAAACTTAAACTTCTTTTGTGACCTTTATTCAAGCAATAGTGACAGAAGGTAGTAGTACAAAAGATTTATTTCAACTTAATCCTGCTAAAGAGCAAATGAACATAGCACTATTAAGCAATTAGAGTTGATGTATTTATTAACGAAATAAATGCTCAGAAAGAGATGGCTCTTGGGTGATGTGATAGTTATCAGTATAGTTGGTGTAATTTTTTTGAACAAAGACATAAAACAGCCAAGCAGCCTTGACAAACCATTTTGTTTAATCTCTTTTCAAATGAAAAGCTCTTAAGCAGGCCACTTGTCTTAACTGCTTGAAACCATAAAAAGAGAGAATTGCCACCAATAAATTAGCATATTTTTAACTTCATCACCCAATGATGGTCAATGTGGCTTGGCACTGCTTTGGTGTTTGGGACTTCACCCTTAAGTGACCACTTTGGCCCTTTTTTGACCCTCTGCCCTCTTTAGCTGGCCACTTGATAAGGTAACTTAATGGTTCTCTCTCTTTTTCTCTTTCCCTTCACATTTGCAAGTAGCACTAACCTATAAATCATTGTAAGGACCCTATCCAGTGACAAATTAATGTGCCCTCCTCCTAATTAATGGTCATCAATGTCCTTAATTATCTAATCCTATTGAGAGCAGTTAATAGTTAATCAGGCAGCCAGTTCTTCAAGCAGGTCATCTCTGCAGGAGTGTTAGAAGTTTCTCATCTGCGGATACTCCCTTCAAAAGCCACTTAAAGCCAAAAGAGCGAGAGTGTAGAAATAGTGATTCTTGAGCTAATTCGCTTTAGTTCTCAAAAGAACCACTGAAATGGAACCCAACTCTGTAATTGTTCAAACATTGTTTTGTTTTTTTCTGACAGACTATTGAGCACTTTACCATAATATTGTTTAAAATTTTTAGAGACATAAAGTTTTAATTGTTAGTGTCACAAGGAAAGAATGGCTTGTCACATTCTTTTAAGTTGAATTTATATTTTTAATGAAAGATGTAATGAGGTTGTATTTGGTTTTGTTTTGTTTTTTTTTCCTCTGTGTGATTCATCTTCTCCCAAGATGAGCATTCTGATCTCCAGGTATAAATTATTGTGTCTGTTTCCATACAAACTAAGAATAGAGATTCCCTAGTGAAAAAAATCTTACACCCACAAAAGTGGTTCAGTAGTATGTATCTCTCTCTCTATCTCTCAAATACCACCACACACCTCACTCCAGATATACACTCAAAGTTCTTATTTGGTGTTAGTGGGTAAAAATTTACATAATGTCAAGTATAGTCTCTCCTTGGAGTAACTTTATGTTCTAATAGTGACTACATTTTACCATTGGAACTGATTAAATAACTTTCATTAAAGCACTTAGGTTCCTGTACTTCTTCCCATTTAGCTAAACTAAGAAAACCATTGTAAATGGTTATCCTGTGATTTAGAGATAATATTTGAAAACGAAACACAAGTAGATGTTTATTCTTCTAAGTTAAAATTTAGTACATTTATCAAATCCTTTACACTTTTGACTTGCAACCTAATTAGTAAGTTGTTTTCTTGAAAAAAATACTTAAAACACATTCTAAATAACTGATTTACTTCTGTTATACAGTTCATAATGATGACTAGAAAAAATATAAAACCTTAAAAAAGTACATAGGTGTACTTATATAACAAGATGAAATCAGATGGTTCACTTAAGATTAAGTATTCTAATAATAGCATTATACACTGTGAAAGACAAATTGATCCAAAAATGGACAACAAGTCTTCTGTGATTAATAAAATATAGAAAGTGGAAGCGAAAATACCCTTTACTGTGGGGAGGAGTATCTATGAAGTGACAGTGTGTTCATATGCACAACAAATGTTTTTTAAAAACAGCCCTGATATTTAATATATATAGGGGTACACATGTGTATGTACACACCACACACACGCAATGAATCTGTAGAATCCAAAGCTGTAGTATACCAGGCTCTGAGTCTGCATCTTACTTTCAGAAAGAAAAGACAAAAGTTTAAAGTGGCTTAGTATGGTTTCACGTTAAAAGAAATAGCTTTCCAAATTCTTTCAAAATTGATAATCCTTGTAAACTGTACACAATAGCGCTAGTATATTTGATTAACTATAATATACTACTAATTTCTTGAACTTGCTGCATAACCTTCACTTGGTCACAGCAAGCATTGATTATGCCATTAGTTATGCCCATAAATATGGGCTCTTTTTGTTTTTTATAAAGTAACAGTTTATAATAAAAGGTTTTACTAAGATGTCAATATATTTAAGCTGTCATTTTCATCTTTATATCTATCACAGTCATACATTTAGTATGTATAAAATCTTTTATGAAATATTTGTAGGAGATAAATTATTGATTTTGTAAAATTATTGTGACTATTAAATATAGTAATACGTATTGGTCAAGTGACCTCTAAATATTACCTTCTCAATTCAGTTTTATAATACATGTTACCATAGGCACAAGTCTTTATTTCCAAGCTGAAATACTAGTTAAAATACATTTTTTCACCTCCTGTAATATTTATGTATCTAAGGATGTAATAATCATTAGCCAGCTTTTTCTTTACATACATAATTTTGATGTAATTATAATATATAAGCAAATCAGATTTGGAATATGCCTGCATTTAATTTGGTGATGTCATAAGAACAGTACTTTTACTTGCATTTAATATGATTTCACTATTTTGATTTTGTATTATTCAGCTTTTCAAATCTTAACATATCCTAGTAATGTAATTCTCTAATATAAAGCATAGTAATATGTTATTACATTAGTTGTCATTTCTTATGAGGTTATTATAACCAGGATTTTGACTTTGATAACGCGAGTTTTCCAGTTCTAAGGCTCAGTGTTTTAAGGTCAAGTCAGAAAGTATGCAAAAATATTATTCATTGTAAATTTTCATAGGCTTATTGGTCATAAGTAGTATATTTCATAGGGTACTATTATAAATAGTAAAATTATCACAAATAGTGTATATGGGTTTTGTAAACTAAATGAATGTTGGGAGTATATGGGTTTTGTAAACCAAATGAATGTTGGGAGTTCAGAAAACTCAAAGTAAATCAAATTTACTCAAAGTAATTTGTCCTACTTTGCCCCTAAAATTCAAAATACAGGACCTCAGTACCTCTCCAATCACTAAGAGCTTTTTCTCACAAAACAATCTATCAACCATTCTTAATATTGAGTAACCATTATTTTTTTATGTACTTAGTTTTTTAAATAATTTAACCTTAGGTGTTAAAACCAGTAAAGAAATTTTTAATAAGAGTACAGTATCCTTATGCAAGCATAAACTCTTGCATATTAAAAGGTTGCCAGTCACTAGGATGATGGTGGAAAACCTGGAAAGTTGTGTAATATCCTTGATCCTAGATTTCCAGTTTTTAAAAAGGAACTGAAAAGGTGACTGTGCATTTACTATATTTAGAGGTAGAGGGGAGATGATTAACCTATTTGTCAGTTCACAATGTATCACTAAAATACAGTTATGAAAACATCAATGTCTGGCTTAGGAGTCTTATTAAGATTTAGCATCAAGGATCATATAGCCTGATGTATCTTTTCTGATAATGATGCCCTCTACAAATATTAGTTGATAATTAATTTCCAGATATACTGCAGTTTTAAAAGAAAATTAAAGTGGAACATAGGCATCTGTTCATATGGAGGAAAATTATGTGTCAAAGTAAATGCCAGTTAACATTCTTTAACAACAGACTAGTCATTTGCTAGGTTTTCATTTTAAAATATTCACTGTCTTGCCATTTCCATATTTGTACTTTAATTCCCAAGTGATATACAATGTGTCATCTAGGTCGCAGAATCTCCAGAAATCAGATATATGTTCTATATATCTATATATACTTTTGATAAAGCTATCAAAAGTATATACCACCTTAAGGGACACACAGTTTTGAAACTCTGTCTAATCCTATTTCTTCCCACTTTGGAATCTTAATTATAAGAGATAAGAAGGAGGGGAACATCGTTTAACTAAATTATTGTCTTGAATCTGTAGCAAAAGGTATAATCCGCAATTGGGCCAATTAGTGAACCCCATAGTTAGCCTTGCTGCAGTGAACAATTTGATTAGATCTGACACCATCCCAGTTCCCACTGTTGTTTTGCCAGGTATGATGGTCAGACTTCAAAGGGCTGGAGGCACCAGCAGGGCAAGGTTTGGAGGCCAGCTTGGGTCTGGTTGTTAATCTCTCTGCTAAAACCACAGCAACTCTCACACAAAACAAGCTTACACGACACAATCATGCGGTATTAAAGTTAAGGTTGAGTCATACCAATTTGCCTTTGGTTTTTTGATGATTGACCAAAGTTGGCTACATGACTAGACATATGCTGAAAGTATACTGATGAAATAAGTTTCAAAAAATTTGAAGTATTTATAACTTCCTGTATAAATGTTATGAAAGTTTGTTGCTTTTGATCAAACTTCCAAAGAGTACCACAGCAGCAGAAAATGAGTATTTCTCACTGGCAGTTTGGATTCC